CATCACGGGCCATATCGGAATGTAGCATACTTGACCCCAGCCGCACTCGTCGTCGCATCTCGTCCACAAATGCCAATCCAGACGTACCATCAGGTTCATGACCTGCTGCGCATGCTCTCCGTGTCGTCGAATCGTCGGGGAGAAGATATCTGCGCGTAGAGACAGGAGGGTCTCGCAGATTTCCCGCTGCACGGTCCCAATCGCTGCAAGGATTTTCCTTTCTCTGGGAGCGTGCGCAACGAGATGATCCATGCCGTGGGTGAACGTGCGAGTGCAGAGGTCGACGTTCTCCGTCTTATTTTGGGACGGCACGTATGTCGGGATGAGCAACGAGGCTAGCAAGTACTTTGTCTGCTTGGGTGCGGCATCTGTGCCGTTCAGCAGGAGTGCATGCAGCTCTGGGAGGCGACGGCCGTAGTGATTGACGATCTGGTCCGTGACGGCCCTCCAGTCGATACCCGTCAACTCTCCCGCGCTGTAGGCTGCGACTGCGTCGGCCACGTCGTTGCGAATTTGGAGTGCGGTGCTATGCTCCAGACTTGAGTTCGTGAGTCTGTGTGTCGAGGTCTTGAGAGACGGGAGGGAAAGTCCAGAGCGTCCGTAGCAGGTTACGAAAGAGCCAAAGGCGAGCTGAACCCGCATCTCTCCTACGCCACTGTATACCGAGGTCGCTGAGCGAAGCCACTCCCACGACGAGTACGCAGAAAAGGGAGACTGGTTCCAGCCGTAGTAAGGGCCTCCATACGGTGGCCGACGTCGAGGGAAGCCGGAACCGGGCCTCCCTGGTGGGTACGGAGACTCGTCAGGTGGCCCACGGTCATTCCAAGGAGTTGTATCAACGGTTATCGACGAGTTGGGGCTGCGAGAGGCCAAGAGATCGACGGCTAGCAGGCTCGCGTGTCCGTCATGCGTGTCGTACGGCGGCTCTCCCTCTGGAGGCGGATACGGTGCGTCCGGAGGCGCGGGCCAGCCACCACCAGACGGCTCCCCAAGGTCCTCAAGCCAGTGCGTCACATTACTATTCTGCACGAGCTCAATCCCCTTCGTCCAGTCGCACCAAAGCAACTCAAAGCCCGCGTTCTGTCGCACAAACCCTTCGACTCCGAGGCCTAGAGACTTTCCCCACTCGCATAATCGCGCGGCACGCGTGTACTCGTCGAACTGCCGCGTCTCGGTGACGTGCCCGTAGAGTAGGATGTCCTGGCTGTCGAGCGAGCCGGTGGACGTGAGCGCTGCGCTCATCCCGTCGATGTAGAGCAATGGTCCTAAAGTGCGCGCGCTGCGGTACGTGCGCATGAAGGTCTGGCCGCCGCGTGGGCCCATGATGGCGTAGCTCATCTCGGAGTCAAAGGCGAGCCACTCAGGCGACGGAGGGTCCTTCGCGTCTTTACGCGCATGATACAGTGTCGTCCCCACGGGAATGGACGCTACTGTGAATGAGAAACCATTCGGAGAGAGCGTGTTACCCTGTAAGATTATGATTGTGAGTATACGTATGAAGGAAACGAAACGACGTACCCATTGACGCAAGAGCGAGTTGACGCTATTGAAGATGAACGGCGCGTCTCGTTCCAAGTTGTGAGAGTCGTCGTAATCTAACAGACACAGATATAATGTGAGCTTGTTTTGAGCAGAACGCGAGAGTAGACGATTTACCAGACGCAGGGGCGCTGGTCGGACTGCTTGTCAACGGCAGCTGTCCTGCCAACACGCAGAGAACGAGAGCGAGCAAGAGCGTGAGCCGTGCAACCACGACCATGTAGGGGCAGAGGGCAGTTGTGTTTCATTGCGTTATCGCTTGACCGCACGATATAAGAACGATGTTGTGGGAACCGTCGCGGTGATGCGCGTACAAAGTCCGGTCAAAGAGAACCGCATCGGACGTCCTCCTACAGTGACAGGTTCAAAACCTATTTGAAGTCGAGAGGGTGAGTTGGTTTTTTTTGTCTTTCACCTGCTGAGCGACTGTTACGACGGCGACGAGCCCGCCATGGTGACTCATTATATATGTGGCTCCTGCCAATGAAGGTACGGACCAGTGGCGTAGCGGTTATCGCGTCTGTTTTACACACAGAAGGTCGTCGGTTCAATCCCGACCTGGTTCACTCTTCTTTTGTACAGAAAACCTCGGCCTCCTTTACTTCGAAAAATGGGGTCGGAGAGTTACACCACGTCCCAATTCATTGCTTGTTTTTCGTATGTCTGCAATGCCTATCATAGGTACTAAGCGTCATACCGTTGCAATCCCTCCATTTGTGTTGACGCGGTCGGCGATATGCGTACAGAATTAATTTCGACGAATGTTCTCTATGAGATTCTGGGCGACGACCTGCGCCGTCTGCCTCAGTTTTCCATCGGGGCCGATGCCCATCTCGACCTTATCGGCTTCCTGTTGGACCTCTTCGTCATTGCGCACCCACTCGCCCTCCTCCTGCTCCTTGTGCCAGTAGTCGTTGAGCTGCTCGCGGAACTCGTCGGTACGCAAGGTCGCGGCGCGGTTCATCTCGAGCATCTGCATGTTGCGGATGATGGAGTCCAAGGCGCGCTTCGTGCCCTCGATGGACGTCATCGCGGTCGGCGGGCGGTGTCTGGGCGGGAGAAAGTAAAGGACGGGACAGATGAAGAAGAAGAGGATTTGGCGCATGTTCCACATGTTGTCGTGGACCATGGTTACGCCCATGCCTGTGGAGGGAATGGTGATGTGGGCCGCGGTGAGGACGTAACGCTCGAAGATGGCGGCGAGGACGAGTAGCCCGACGGCCCATGGACGCAGGTGGCGTTTGTGCAGCCCGCGCGAGGTGAGTGCGCCCGCGACGAGCACTTCGCGCACGTATTCGAGCAGGACGCCGGGCAGCGAGACGAGCGCGTATTCGTCCGGCGTGGCGCAGTGCTCGCAGCTTTGTATTGCTTCGTGGCCGAGTCTGCGACGGCGTCAGAATGATAGTAGTCCCCATATATTGCACAGCGAGCGCACCTGATATAGAGCTGGCGCACGTCAAATGACGAGAGCCGGACGAGCAGCTCCTCGAGCGGCACGGGCAGCGTCTCGGTCGGCGGGTCCGAACGTCGTAGCAGCATCGTGCGCAGAGCTGAAGACGGGGTGGTTATCGGGACACGCAGCGCGGTGAAGATGTTAAGCGGCGGATGGACCCAGAATTTCCAGAGGATGAAGACGGAATGGGCGAAGACGAGCGCAATGGCGAGCCACCGCCGCCGTCGTGTGGCAAGTGTTGTCGCTTGCGGCGTCTCGGGCGCTATACGCGACTGGTAGCGCAGCTTTCGTATCTCTGTGAGTGCCCATGGCCCCACGAACACGGCGACGGTGAGTAGAAACCCGCTGAGGCCGGGCACGTCGAACATCAAGAAGAGAGAGGCGGATGCGGAGTTTACGCGCTTGGCACACGTGTCACCGTTCGCCAAGGCAGCAATATACAGATAGCCAATAGTAGTTACTGTGAGGAGTATTTGTGTATTGGCGATTTGGCATTGAGTTTATATATACACGGGTTGAACGATTTCCTCCCTTCAGTGCTGAGAGTAAAACGCCTCAAACGGAAGGAAATACCTTCTGCTCGACGTTTCCGAAAGGATGTTGGCGGATTATGACTGTCTGATGTAGTCTGTAACTGGAAAGAGCTGTTACCCATGACCGATTATATGCCTCATGAGCCACCGACTTCCAAACCGAGCTGCCATTCCGCCCGACTGTAGGCTCACGGCGGGCAGATATTATCACAAGCTGCCACCGCGTCGCCGCGGAGGCGCCATAGTCCGGGCACCGGCGCTGTAGAGGGTTCGCAGAGGATAGGATCTAAGGATGACAGTTGTCTGCCTTTGTTGCTGTCCTTGACGCATTGGGCCGTCACGCCGCGGATGCAGTGCGGCCGTTGCGGGCCTCAACTCCGTCTCTCCTTCGCAGCTATCACCACCATGTCCGCGGCCGACATCGAGCGCGGGCGAGATTACGACGACCGCGAGCTCGCACGCGAGGAGGAGCAGGAGTCGCTGCTCCCGGTGAGCACGAAGGTGGCCAGCCCGACCGTCGCGGCCAGCAGCCACCACGGCCGACGCGCGAGTCGTCTGGGCCACGCGTCCTGGAGCTACGTCGCTGCCTCCTTCGTCGCTGGCGTCTTCGCTTGCGCCGTCGTTCAATACGCGTTCAGCATAGGCTGCGCTCAGTTCGCCGGCGCACGTGCGTCCCAGCGCCAGGTCGACACCCACGACGGCATGCTCTATCTCGCACCAGAGCACGCCGGGAAGACCGTAGTGCACGACTACCCGCCCGCGCACCCTACCAACAGCAAGCCCGAGTTCTTCCCCACCAACGTCGGTTACGCGGGCCCCACCCCCACCGGCGCAGAGGCCGCACTCGTCGCTACCGCGCCTGCCTACCCCATGAAGACCGAGATCCAGAATCTGCTGGGCCCTACGCCGCCGCGTCCGAAGGGCAGCAAGAAGGACTTTGATATGTTCAAGTACTGGGGCAACCTCTCGCCCTGGTACTCGATTCCCAAAGGCACCTTCGGCGTTGACTCGACCCCCGAGGCCCCGGACGGCTGTCGCGTCACCGCTCTGCACTTCCTGCACCGTCACGGTGCACGTTATCCGACCAACTGGGCGAGCTACGGCGGCCCTGTTAAGTTCGCGTCTCGTTTGCACGAGGAAGCAGCCAACTGGGACGCGTCCGGCGAGCTGTCCTTCCTGAACGACTGGTGCGCGCCTCCGTGGTGGGCTAGGCGTCGCCTAATTTGCATACAGGACATACAAGCTCGGCAGCGAGATCTTGACACCATTTGGTCGTCAGCAGATGTTCGACCTGGGCATCTCGCTCAGGATCAAGTACGGTTTCTTACTCGAGGCATGTTTCTCCTACTGTTTGTCCCGCTACAAACTCATCTATGCTGCAGAATTCCACCGCGCAGAACGCTCTTCCCGTCTTCCGCACGGAGTCGCAGTAAGTCTGGCGAACCAGAATGTTGCCACAGCTTCATCCGTTCGCTTGCAGGGATCGCATGTTGCATTCTGCCCTCAACTTCGCAGCAGGCTTCTTTGGCATCGACAATCAGGACAAGTACTGTTGGTCCCTTCACCGAATATGATGCAAAGCGCACAAGTAACATTATCCGCAGTGCAAAGTATCACCATCGAAGCAGACGGGGTACGAGGTCTTTACCGTGACCGTGCTCTTACCTCTGCTCAACTATCCATCCTCTAGTTTAACAACACTCTTTGCCCATACAAGACGTACGTTCGCCTCAGCATTCTTCATCGCAACCACGTTCTCATCGTCGTTGATTCCAGGTGTCCTAATGCCCGCGACCCGACGAAGAGTGACCGTGCAATCCCGTACATCCGCGAATGGGCTGCCATCTACCTCAAGGATGCGCAGAAGCGGTTACAGGGCCAGATTAAAGGATTTGACCTCACTACGGAGGACGTATACATCATGCAACAGGTGAGTCATCCTGCTCCCGAAGTCGCAATGTGATGTTCATGCTTCCGTAGACGTGTGCGTATGAAGTGCGTCACCGTCGTCAGCTACTGCGATAAGAAAGGCCGTGTGACTGACGGCTTGGACAGACGGTCGCTCTTGGGTACTCGAGCTTCTGTGAGCTATTTACTCAAGAGGAGTGGGAAGGCTTTGAATACGCGTGAGTGTAGAGCCTCTAGTACCTGTCACAAGACCACTGACGATTGTACAGATTGGACCTCTACTTCTGGTACTACATAGATTGCGGTCACCGGAGATGCATGTCGTCTTACAGCCCCTCAGGTACGACTCTGCGTTCGGAGCGCCGACAGCGCGCGTGCAGGGTATCGGCTACGTACAGGAGCTTGTCGCACGACTTACGGAGACGCCGATCGCGGTGCACAACTCGTCCACCAATTCAACGCTGAATGATAACCCCATCACGTTCCCTCTTGGAAACAGTCTCTACGTTGACGCGTGCGTTCTACCGTCCTGCCTTGTCTGTATGTATCTGATCTACATTGTTTCCGACGCCACAGCACGCACGAGGTCGTCGTTCTTAACGGTAATGTGTTCTGCACATACGCACATAATGAACCCGCTGAACTTGCTGTGTGACCCGAACAGTTATCACAGCGTTGAACTTGTCCAACTTTGCGGCGACGGGTCCTTTACCTTCTGACCATATCCCGGAGAACAGGTCATTCATTGCCTCCCAGCTTGCGCCGTTCGGCACGAACATACAATTCCAAGGTAACGTATACATTCCGTGTCACGCACCCTGTTTCCGTCCCGCCTCGTCTCTCCTGCCAAGTTTAATAACCATGACGCCTCTTTACCAGTGTTGTCCTGCGAGGCGAAACCCGAGCCGCAGCTCCGCATCATCATAAACGACGGCGTGTCGCCTCTAACGGGCGTCAAGGGATGCACGGCGGATAAGCATGGGATGTGCTCCGT